AATGATAGAAAATTGAGGATGACAGCGCTAATTAACTTTGAGCCCAGGAAAAATAAATCTAAAAAATGGAGACAACCATAGTAATGTTAGCATTAAAACACAGTCTACATATTGGAAAAAATGTGAAAAAACAATGGAAAAAGTGGAAAATGCAGCAAAAGAATGTATAAAAACTTTGATGACAACCTTAATAAACATGATGAAAAAATTGTCAGACGTTCTTACTGCATCAAAATTTTCCCCCTCCGTCTAATTATTCTTTCTCTCTCTCTCTCTCTCTCTCTTTCTCTCTCTCTCTTCCTTTTTGTTTTTAATTCTTGCCCAAATTACGCTATTTTTAAATACCTGTGTGCTGTTTAAGTAGTGATTTAGTAATAAGTTAGGAGGGTATAATGTGTGTGGTGTTTAGTTAGGTTCACGCTCAATCTTATGCACTGTGTAAGTTTGTGTGTGTGTGTGTGTGTTGTTTATACCTGTGAGTGTGTGTGTCTTGTTTATACCTGTGAGTGTGTTGTAATAGATGAGTAGTAATAAGAAAGTTAGGATGGTAAAAAAGTGTGTGGTGTTTGGATTTCACAACGTATGTGTGCGTGTGTATGTGTGCGTGCGTGTGCGTGTGTTTGTTGTTTAGACTTGTGAAAGTAATGCTGAGAGTAAAATTTAAAGTAATACAATTTTTGTATTGTTGTTTATAAACTTGTAGAAAAACAAATTGTGGCCATTAGCCTTCATGAGACCATAATTCAATTGAAACATCACTCGTTAATCGTTCACTATTAAAAAATGTCTCACCATCATTAGTGGAGGGAGTAATATTTGATGATGATAATGAAGATAAAAAAGTCGATAATGAAGGAGATGATGATGAAGATGTTGATGATTGAGAAATGGATAATGAAGATGTTGATGATGATTAGGATGATGAAGATAATAATGATTTTTATGAGAAAAAGATGATGACAAAAGTAATGTGAGAAGTCAGATGATGAGGATGAAGATGATGAGAGTATTAATTGTATGGGAGTGGAAAAAAGATGATGATGAAAAAAAGTTGATGAAGATGACGGGGAAGATGATGACAGTGAATGCAATTTGGCCGTTGTTACTCGTGTCACTCTTCCTTCTAATATTGATGTTTTTGTTGTTGCAGCTGCCATCGTCGTCAAAATCGTCAGCGTCATCGTCGTCATCATCATCTTCATCATCGTCATCATTATTAACGCTTTCATCATCATCACAGACGAAATTATCATTGACAAAACATCGTCATCATCATCGTTTTAATGATTCATTATCGCCATACTCATTTTCATAGAAATTGGTTGAGATGTGTTTTAGAAGTTAATGTTATAATGTTGCTATTGTGATTGTTATCATTATTATTGTTGTTGTTGTCGTTGTTGTTGTTGTGGCTTGTTAGTTGTTGTCGTTTATGATAAGTTGCCGGAATAATGATGATTACGCTGCTAAGTCTGTCATGTTCTGGTGATAATAAACTGAATATTGCCCACAATGTGTCATTACAATGATGATGGTTTTGTGGTTGCTGCTGCTACTACTGCAGCTGCTGCTGCTGCTGACGATGATGACGATGATGATGGTTTTGTGACAGCTGGCGATGACGAGGATGTTGATGATAACAACTGTGATGGTTTCAGCGTTTTTTGACAGTTTTGTTAATGTCACGTTAATGTGTTAATGCTTTTTCGTTAGCGTTGTTGTTGCTGTTATTTTTAAAAAATGTCATTATCGTTATTACTTTTAATAATAATGTTACTGTTGATGATGTCGCTGTTGTGGTTGTTGTGGTTGTCGTTTTATTGGTTGTCGTTATTGTGGCTGTCGTCGTCGTTGTGGTCGTTGTGGTTATTATACGCTATATAGCAGGGTAAATACTTTGCTGGTGATTAATATTGCTTTAGTCGGATATTTATCTTTTTATTATTCATGTTGAGGGGTCGTCTCAAATTGGCCGATTTTGACCTCACTACGTTCGATAATTTTGTTGTTGTGTGGTTGTGTTGTTGTTGATGTGGTTGATGTTGTTGTTGTTTTGTGGTGTTTGTTGACGATGTGGTGGTTGTTGTTGATGTGTTGTTGTTGATGTGGTTGATGTTGTTGTTGTTTTGTGGTGTTTGTTGACGATGTGGTGGTTGTTGTTGATGTGTTGTTGTTGATGTGTTGTTGTTGATCGGTTGATGTGTAGTTGATGTTGATGTGGTTATTGTGTTGTTGTTGCTGTGTTGTTATTGTGTAGTATTTATTGTTTAGCTGCGAATGTTAAAGTTTGTTATTACATCAATTAATATAACATTTAACATTTAATGTTGTTGTCGTTGTTGTTAATGTTTGCGGAATTTTCATTAACTTAAAATTAAATTTCTGTTCAGGAGTTTTTATCGTTCTTAATTTTACATTGTCGTTGTTTCATTGTTGGCGTTGCTGTTGTTGTTGTCTTTTTAATGTTGTTGTTTTATCTATGTTGTTGTTATTGTTGTGTTTATGTTTTCGTTGCTTTAGGGTCTATGTTGTTGTTGATTTTGTTGTCTTTGTTGTTGTATTTAATGGTTGAAATAAAATGTAGAAATGTATATGTCGGCCAACGACGTCAACAATTTGTTGTTTTTTATGCCTAATAAAATGGAATTACATTGTTCAACATATCTATGTTGCTAGTGGCAACCTTGTTTTTGTTTTCAGTGGTTTGTATTTTGTTTTGTTTTGTTTGTTTGTTTTTGTTGACGTTTGCTTGCTGATGTATTATTACTTTGAGTTATTTTTCCAACATTTTCTTGTTGTTTTGTTGTTGCAAATGTAAAAAATGTTTTTTCTAAAAATTCCTAAGATTGTTATTTGAAATGTAGTAGTAGTTGTTGTAGTAGTTGTTGTAGTAGAAGCAGTAGTAGTAGTAGTAGTAGTAGTAGTAGTAGTAGTAGTAGTAGTAGTAGTAGTAGTAGTAGTATTAGTAGTAGTAGTAGTAGTAGTAATAGTTGTAGTAGTTGATGTTGTTGTTGTAGTTATGTTGTTATCAAACAAAAATATATTTTCCATAATTGTAACCGCCATTTGTTTCTTTCTCTTTTCTTTTTATGTTTTTAGGATCCTTTCCGCCTTTTCATATGAACCGAAATGATTCAACAACGCCGTGAATGGGGTTTGTTAGTGAAGTATTCCTGAGCATAATGTCAATGATGACGATTATGATGATGGTGATGATGATGATGGTGATGATGATGATGGTGGTGGTGATGATGATGATGATGGTAATGATGAGAATGATGATGGTGATGATGAGATGTTATAGTGATAATGATGATGATAATGCTGAATGAATTCTTCAGATATTTATTATTGCTTTTAATATAGCAACGTTCAATATCATCATTCTCATCATCGTCATCTTCTTCTTCATCATCATCAGTTGACTTTGACATTGGCAATGAGGATGATTGGACCTTACATTTGATTTTATTTGATTATTTTTTTTGTTTTATTTATTTTTTTAAAAACATTTTATAACAATTTATTTACATTATTTGATTTTTGCTTTCGAGAAATGAAAAAGTCTTCATTATTATTGTTCTTGTTGTTAAGTTATAATGTTGCTGATTGCATATCACCGGCAGACCAAATCATACGTGTCTGAGCTTTTTTGTTTAAAAACTTCAAAAGTTATTTTTCAAACCTTATTTCTATCTTTTTTTCTTTTTCAACATTCTCCGGCATTCTTTCCATCTTTTATTCTTCCCAATTTTCGCTCTCCTAATTTATTTTGTTTCACTTATTTTTCGAAGGAATTCATATTGGAGTTTCAAATTTTAATCTCACGTAAAATATTCATGAGGATGGAAGACGGAAGCGAGGAAGCGCGGAGTGGAATATAAAAAGATGGATTTGGAAAGTAAATTTGGAGTAAATTAAAGAAGAAGCTTTAAAAACATTTGTGAAGAGAAAAGTTAAAAAGTTTAATTTTTGAAGTTGGAATTCTTGAGCGACGCCACGGTGTGGTGGGTATGATGGGTGGGACTGCTGTCGGAGTGACTGGCTTCGAACGCAAAAAGATCCTCGGCTGTTTCATGCAATGTGTGTTTGTGATGTCGTTGTGTGTAGCGTTGGTATGGTTCCATGAACCTTTGCTGAATTATTTTTTAGATGGGTCCGTTGTGTTGATGGGTTGATTGACTGATAATATTATCCAATACCAGCTGTAAAAGAATTAGAAATAAAATTTTATAACAACCAAACCCATAACAACAACTACAGAATCAAAATACATAGGCATCAAATATACACATATACACACGCACGCACACCACACTACAGTAGACACACACACCACACCACACTACACTACACACACAGACACAAACACACACACATCACACACACAAACACCGATATGTACATATCAATTCGCCTGCTTGTTCATGCAATATTTTCACGCTCCGATGCCCAGCCGGTACAAAGGTTGGTCACGCTTCAGTGGTTAATACGCATACACAACTGATAGAGTTCGATACCCGGCGATAAAAAATATTATACCCTTTTGTTACGGTATTGTATTTTTGGTTTATTTGGTTTTTGTCATAGTTTTATAGTTGCTGGTTGTGTGTGTGTGAGTGTGTGTGTGTGTGTGTGGGCTTACGTTTGTGTGTCCTTACGTGTGTATATTTATTTGTTTTATAGTTTGTAGTCATGTGTAAAATTCTGAATGAATAATTTTTAAGAGCTTTTTCTGCACACGAAAACTTTGTTTATTTGTCACATTTGAATGATGTTGTATGCGTGTAAAAATAAATTATAAATAAACAAAATTGTGTGTGTTGCGTGTGTAACTGTCTGTGTGTGTGTGCGTGCGTGTGTGTTTGCGTTTGTGTGCGTGTGTCTCTCTGTGTGTGTATGTTGTTTTTTGCATGCTTACAATTGCATGAATTTTAATTAAATAGGGAAATAAATGTTTATTTTCCTCGCCGATGTATTTATGTTACGATAATATGTATTTACGTGCCGGTTTTAGCTGGCAGTCGGTTTTTTCCGTTTTCGTCTGGATGGGTTAATCGTCTATATTGTGGTATTCGTTTGTGTGTGTGTGTGTGTTTTTATCCAAACCTGCATTTTTTTTCATCAAAATAAGTTTTTCATGTTCAGTTGGAAAATTAAGCGTTGAGGGTTTGAAAATGTATTTTTGTAGGAATTTCAAAATACATAGATTCAATTTTTTTCAAAGTCTTACGGGAGAAGAATATAAAGATGTTTTCATTTTGAAGAAAAAAAGTAATAAATGGTCATTTTACATGATAAATAATTTTTAGAAATAAAGTTTTTTTTATTTATTTCAATGTTTCATTTTGTTTTTATTGTTCTTTATTTTTCACTCATTCATCAATTCAATCATTCCTTTTTTCTCTTCCATTCTCTTCTCTTCTTCTCTTCCTTTCTCTCTTTCTCTTTTTTTCTTTCTTCCTCTCTCTTTCTTCCACGTTTGTTTCTCAAATGTTTGTAATGGATGCTTCAAATAGATTGACCTTTCCCGATCAAGCTTAAGCGTATTTGTTCTTTGTATAACTTTAATTTCTATGTTTCCTGTTTTTGTATGTTTATGTTTGTTTTTTGTATGAGTGTTAAATTGCTATGTTTCCAGTTTTGTATGCTCGTAATTGTATTTTTTCTATAAAAACATGTTTGTGAAAATGTATGCATTTCGAAAGTTGTATGTCTGCATGGATGCAAAAGTGTTTGAATGTCTGAAAACTTCAATTTGTTTCCTTCCATTGTACTAGTGCATACATGATGTATATGTGCTAGTATGTAGGGTACATACACATGTATGTATTAAATACCAACAAGTGCATGTTCTCGAGTCAATTCGGTTAAATGATTTATGTTTTAAAACAAAATTAGATTTTGTTTGGCATAATACATAACATAGAACAACACACACACACACGCATACCCACACACATGCATGCACATATACAAACATACTATAGATAAATACCAAGAAAAAAATTAGTTTATACGGTAAATAACGACAAAAAACATGCTCAGTGTTTTGCATAACTAGATTTCTCAAACAAACAAAATAAAAACAAACACAAACATAGACACACATGCACAAACAAACATAGATACATAAAACAAACAAACAAACATACTCACAAACAAAAAATATATACAAACAAACAAGAACAAACACACACAACGCATAATTCATCAAAACAATTTGCGGGGATATGGTAAAGGAATCAAAGAATATAGGCACGCTTGAGAACCATCTGTATATGATTGTCAGTGCGAGCGTGTAAAATGGATGGATGTTAGGCAGCACAGAGGAAAATTTGCCAAAAATTATTATTGCTCATCTGTTAGAAGCAATTCTATAATAAGTTTCCAGAATGTAGACATGTAAAACGATTTCTAATGGTAACAAAATATTATCCAGCTACTTTTGCAGTAGTGTGATGAGTGATTGTTATAAAGATTCGTTCAATGTGCATTTATTTGAATTGATTTAATTAATTCAGTTGCTAAAATTTAACGAGCCATCGATTCATTACTTCGAGAAAAAAATGAAACAAACTGTAAACCTACCAAATTGTACGTAGGTCTGTGTGTGAATGTTGAACTTTGGCCAGAGTTCATAAGACGACGACGACGATGAAGATGATGGGGAAGATGATTTTTGTGAGCCTCTCTGCGTTGAACTGCTGCTGTTATAGATGTTCGGGTTTCTGAGAAGATGAAGAAACATTGGTTTAATGCCTTTACAAATATTAGTACTCTGGAGGCGATTGATATGAATAAACGAACAAACTACTTGCGATAAGTTTACATAAACTTGCGATGTGAAATCGAAGCCAAACAAAAAATTTTAAAATGTATCTGAAAAAGAATATAAACATTGCCGAGAAAAGAAAAAAAATGAAAAATGGAAAGCATTGGTAAAGATTTAGTAAGCTCCTGACATACATTTTATTCTCGTAGTTTATGTCTACTGTCTTTTTGTTACTTTAAAACTTGAAAAAACTAAAAAATATCTTTTGAGGAGAATGTTTTTAACATATTTTAAATATCACGCAAAATACACGGGACTTAATTGTTATAAAATATACGTGCATTAATAGATATTTATCGAAGTTTAAAAGGCATGTAGGATGGTTTATTTTCAAACATTAAAGCGTTTAGTTTCTGGATTAGCTGGCTAATGCAACTGAACTAGATTAATATCTATAATCAAAATTTATGCAGGTTTTACTTCAATATTTTCAAAATATTTTTTTTTATATAGAAGGATAGTTTATAACTCTTATGATTTAAATTAAATTTATAATCTTACGTAGCCGATTTCGCTTTTTTAAACTCAGTTCACAATTAATTATAAAAATTTTACTACAATTTGAATCGTATATGAACAACAATTTTCAATAATTTTCAATTTGAAATAAAAGAGTAAAGATAAAATAATATACATCCCACAATTATGAAACACACATAAACACACAAGCAATCAAACACACAAACAAACAATCAAACACACAAGTAAAAACAACATGAACACAATCGAATAATCAAGGAAGTAAGATTAATTTTATCCAGTACAAACCCCGTCCTGGCAAATTGAGCCCAAATCTTTATCATCTGCAGAGCCAGTTGTCCATCTTCCAACTTGTAATGGTCATCCTTGCTATCAAATGGACTCAATCCGCTGACCAATGGGGCTCCGAATATGAAAGCGAGATCATCATCAGTACTAAATCGCTGCTGCTGTTGTTGTTGTTCGTGCTGTTGTTGTTGATAGTGATGTTGTTGATGTTTCTGATGTTTGGATTTTGAGGAAGACGAAGATGTTGAAGATGAAAATGATAAGGAAGCTGAGGACGGTGGCTCGAAGACGTATAAATAGGTGGGAGCTCCGTGTTTGACATGATGAAGGGCGGTTTCGATGACTGGTGCTACTACCTGATTGGATGGCAAGCCAGTACAGGTTGGAATTGAATTTTTATTTTTTGAAACTTGTATTTTGAATTAAAGAACAAAAAGTAAAAATATAACACATAAAGCAACTGGACAACCAACCACCCATCCAGCAATCAAACGGACTGACCGACCAACCTGTCCATCTCCCAAGAAATCCGCCATTTGATTCCTGAGAACGAGAGATGGTTTGGAGCGGAACTCCGGATCGTGTTGCATTTGAAGCTGGGCATCGTCCCACTCGTTGTACTGGTGGGCTATTACGTCGTAGATTCCTTGCCGGTTGTAATCGTGAACGTTCTGCACGTATGTTCGCATCTGACAGCGAACCAATTATAATAAATTTTATATTATATTATATTAATAATTATTATTATTACTATTATTAATATTATTACTATTATTATTTCTATCAGTAGTCATACAAATTTGCATGTGACCAACAAAGCATAGCGTGCCAAGCAAAAATTGTGTGATGAGTTTTTTAACATTTCGGACAGACCGCTATCGAACCAAGAAAGTGCGAAATGAAACCAACGTAACCATACTGTGGCTTACTTTGACTTTTTAACTAAAAAAAAATTAAATAATAATAAAAAAATTAAATAACAAAAAATGTTTATTGGTACCATCTTGGTCATTAGGTCTGGGGACAGTCCCTCCTGTAGGATCTTCTCGTCCATGAAGGCCCAGCCCTCGTTCTTGCTCACCCCGATCAGCAAGTTTGTACTGGAGACCTGGCCAGTAGTCACGTGATGATGATGATGGAGATGATGGTGAAGAAAAAGACACGGACGTTAATGCAAGTTAAAGAAAATATTTGTTATTCTTCTCAGTTAACTTTGCTGCCGTATCATAATTTCAACATATTCAGAAACAAAGCTATCTTAGATACAAAGCTATCTTAGATACAAAACTATTTTAGATACAAAACTATCTTAGATCAGCGTTATCATTATTCAACATGAATTTTATTTACGATTTCATCATTCATTTTCACCATCAGCCGTCATCTTCGTCTCCTCATAAACCATCCAACATCGTTTTATCACTCGCTTCATGATCATCTCGAAACCAACCGAATCAAACATGGTCCGGTCCTCAGCCAGCACAACGCTATGCTGGTCGATATGTGGTCCGAATGCCGTCAAGTACTTGGGCGGTTTCGGAGCAAAGGACATGAGGTCCGATATACCGACGGTCTTCAAACATTGCAGGTTGGTCGGACTGTTTAAAATATCTTGTCTAGCGTTTGATTTTAAGGTGCTGCCTGGTGGCGGTTTTTTGTCGATTTTGTTGACGGTGATGTGGCTGTCGCTTCGCTCGTCAGATCTGACGTCATCATTATTATCAGAGTTGCTACTAATGCTGTCAGCGACAATTTTAACAGCCTTAGGATTAATATTATTATCATTACTCACATCGGGACTGTCATTATTTTTGTTACTATTATTGTTATTGTTGTTACTAATTCCAGTGCAGTTGAACCTGTTGAGGAGCTGGTGAGCGTAGAAGATTGGATAGTGGGACAGTCCCCATGAGGCCAGTGCACTGCCACTCTGCATGATGGCGTTGCGGAAAAGGTTACGACCTTGAGGAAGGGTTGAGGTTAAGAAGTGGATGGTTTTGGCGTGGTTTGATTGGACGATTTTAACTTTGATTGAATGAGCGATTTGAACTTTGATTGAATGATCTTAAGAGAGATGTGACGATAGTCTTGCGTGGTGATGATGATAATTATGATGACTGTGATGAGAAAATTTATGGTGGTGGTGATAAGAAAAAGGATGATTTTGGCAACAAACTTAGGTGACCATGATAATATAGATGAGGATTAAAGCGTTCGGGTAATAACGAAGACTGTCTTGACGATAATCACTTCACTAATGATATGATATGATAAAAGCACAATAATTAAAATGGCGACGATAACAACGAAAGTAACACTATCATAAAAATTAAATTTTTAAAAAAAACCTTTATAAAAAAGAAATTTATATTTTTAATGGTATTAAAAATGTGTGAAAGAAAATGTTTAACGAAAAAAATGAGCCCTTATCTTTGGTAGACAATGTTTGACATTTTTTTATTTTAATATAAAAAAAGAGTAAGAGATAATACATAATTTTTTGTTTCGTGTGTATGTACGTGTTTGTATGAGTGTGTGTGTGTGCGTGTGTGTGTATGTGTTTGTGTCGGTTTATTTTTTATTAACAGTGGTTAAAATATGATAGGGCTATGTATACATTCGATGGTTTCATTTCAAGCGTTTCATGTTACCTTAATGTTTTTATATTTGCCTTTATTTGTATGTTTATGTATTTGTTAATGTTTGTATTTGCTGTTGTATACATGTTTATAAAAATCTTATTTTGTATGTTAAGTTTTTTGTATGTGATTGTATGTTTGTTTATGCTGCCAGACTGTTTATGCATACACGTGTTTTTGTGGACACATTAGATTTAATCAATGGTTTGATGAACGCTTCAGCCTATAAATCATTGTTTATTTGCTTGTATGGTTTGTTTGTTTGTTTACATGGTATTTCATTTGTTAGTATAATTGTTTATTTGTTTGTATGTCTGTATATTCGTTTTTCAGTGTATTGGTGTATAAAACGCCAATACCAGACCGAGATGCACAAATCTTGTGTTTGTATAAAAATTTAATTTTCTTGATTTGCAACCGACCGATCTTGTATTGGTGTTTCTTTCTTCATTTTTGTGTACTATTTTGTATTTTTTGTTTGTTTGTATGTATGTATAATTATTATAAAAGATATGTATATTCTAGTTTTAATATACAAATAAGTACACAAGAATACAAAGTTTTTGTACGCGTATTCAAAAATGCAAATATACACTACCCATGTGTATGGGATTTTTAATTATGTAAATGTATGAATAAATTTTGATGTTTGTATGTAATTACTTATTTCTTTGTATACATTTTTGTCTAAGCGTATATCATGTGCGTATGTTTTGTATATGGTTATACAAAATGATAACAGATTGAATTGAACGAACTTCTGTTTAAACACACGTACAAGCAAGCAAACAAGCAAAACCACGTGACGTATTGCTACGAACTCACATTAAGTCACGTGTTCGAACTTTGTTCGGTCACACCCCTAAACACACACATACACACACACACCGAAACAAACAAACACACACATACATGATAAACATGGATATACTCATGGATGGTTATTTGAATGTAAAGAGATGATAAAACGAAATGGGATAAATTGATGATTTGCAAATAAATGTATGTATGCATAAATCATTATGGAGCAAAAAATAAGAGTACCATGTATTTCTTTGTATGTATGTATGTATGTATGCATGCATGTATGTGTGTGTGTGTGTATGTATGTATGTATGTATGTATGTATGTATGTATGTATGTATGTATGTATGTATGTATGTATGTATGTATGTATGTATGTATGTATGTATGTATGTATGTATGTATGTATGTATGTATGTATGTATGTAATAATGTAGTATATTTTATAACATTTTGTATTTTGTTTTGTTTGTATTTTTAGGGTACTCGATTCCATAAGTTTCCGCTCGAGTGAACAGAGATATTAGACTCGTGTCATTTTGCATTTGTACTTTGTTGAGTCTGCTATTCTGGTAACGTTTGTTTATTTGTTTGTTTGGTGAGGTTTATTCGTTTGTATGGTGTTGTTTTTATTTGTTTGTACTTTCTGTTTACACTGTGTTATTGTTAGTTCTCCATATTGACCTTTCTTAGTTCAGTTTAGCTTTTACGAACTTCTCTCTCTCTATATATTGGTGTTTTAGGGAATTCATTTTCCATATTTTTAGTATGACATCTGCTGAGATTATCTAATGTTCCTATATATAAATATTTCATTAAACGATTACTTCATTTTAAAACTTCTAACAATTATTTTTATTCATAAGTTCTAATTATTCAATGTTATATACGTTTAAAAATATGTTTATTGATATCGTTCTTCACAGTGTTGTAGGCTTTTTTCATTTTTATTATTCTGTGGTTTTATTTTTCCTATTTTGCTTGTTTGTTCATTGGTTCGTAAAATTTCTACCTCGGGCTGGCCGGATAGGGTTAACGAAAAAAAGATTGAGTGCAAACAGGCAAACCAAAAAATAAATTAAAAAAAAAAACAAGAATATGAACAAAAATACATAGTAATAAAATGTTTTTACTACTTTATTTCTTATCCCTCTTCATGATTTTCATCTTTTTCATTTTATTTTCTTTTATGAGCTCTGGTTCAAGTGAGACGTCGAATGAAAGAAGGAGAAAAAAAACAAATAACGAAATGAAATAAAAACAAATGAGTTTAATGATGGCGTCATGATGATGTCATAATGACGTCATGATCAAGTAATGATGATGTCATGGTAATGTAATGACTATATGATGATGATGAGAACAACACAATTTTATGTGGCTTTTCAATATAAACATAACGATAAGTTAGGCGATGGTTTTAAGCACAAAATTAATTACAGACAATACAAGTAACATGGAATTTTATGAAACTTTGTGTGCATAATGGTTACAATGATAACAAAAATTTTGTCATAAAAGTTTTCCAAAATGTTGAAACATAAAAGCTGGGGACGTTTATAAATTCATTTGATTGGAATGAATAAATTGATTTTCTGTGTGAAATTTGTTGACGAGTTAGTAAAATTGAATGCCCCAAATAAAAAACAAAATAAAAATCGCAAAATAAAAAAAAACAAAAACCTCAAACCAAAAAGAAAAAAAAGAAAAAAATCCTACATTTTGAACCACGTACACTTGCCTCCTATTAAATTAGTTCCAATGTGACGAAATCTCGTCAAATTTTCACGCGATTTCGCGAAAACTAATTTTTCGCGGCTTGATTTATCTTAATTTTTTGGGGTTTTGTTTATTGAAAAATTAAACTTGATCAGCTTTAGAAAAAAAATTGCCCATTCAACTGAAATACATCAGTGGCATGAATGATAATGCTTGAAAAAGTTTACTTTTAAGTACAGGAGACATGATGAGCAGGTTGACCAGAGCTGCCCCATAGCGATGACCAAACAAGCAGACGTTGTTTGGGTCGCCGCCGAAATTTCGGATGTTTTTGTTTACCCAATCTAAGCCGGCCAGTAAATCCAGAATTCCATTGTTACCTCGTGCAGCGCTGTTTTCCAACGTTAAGAAACCTTCGATTGTTTGATTGGTTGATTGATGGATAGATAGATGGTTGGTTTGATATATGGGTGAGTTGATTGATAGATGAATGGATGGATGAATAAATGGGTGGGTAGATAAATTAGTATATAAAAACAAGTCCTATCAAACAAAAATATCATAATTTCACTATTCTAAAAAATGTTCATAAAAGTAAAAAAAAAGATATAATTTTTTAGTCCAAAAAATTGAATAAATTTAAACCATAAAACTGAACCAACCAAGGATACCAAGCCTGTAGTTGATGGTGATGACGACGACGTTTCCGACGGCAGCGAGTACAGTAGCGTCATAAGCGTTTCCACTGCCAGCGTCATACGATTCGCCGTGGATGAAGTATATCACCGGATGTAGGGTAGTGTCGTTGTATTCTGTTGAGGTAGG